AAGAAGCAAGAAACAAGAAACAAGAAGCAAGAAGCAAGAAACAAGAAGCCAGGAAGCAACAAGAAGAACAAGAAAACGAAGAAGACGAAGAAGAAGAAGATCCGTCCTTCACTTCTAGTCGGTTCAGAAAGTGACGTTTGGCTCTCTGGGCTAGCTTGGAGCTAATTTCGAGTCGGTTCAGAAAGTGACGTTAGGCACTGGCACCGGGGCCTCGGAAGCGCCGTTGGGACCGGCATGCCATGGTGTTTTCCTGTTTCGGAAGCGGCCGCCAAAGCTGGCAGCTGCAGGCTTCAAAGGCTAGTTTTCTAGCACCGGGGCCTCGGAAGCGCCGTTGGGACCGGCATGCCATGGTGTTTTCCTGTTTCGGAAGCGGCCGCCAAAGCTGGCAGCTGCAGGCTTCAAAGGCTAGTTTTCGAGTCGGTTCAGAAAGTGACGTTAGGCACTGGCACCGGGGCCTCGGAAGCGCCGTTGGGACCGGCATGCCATGGCGTTTTCCCGTTTCGGAAGCGGCCGCGAAAGCTGGCAGCTGCAAGCTTCAAAGGCTAGTTTTCGAGTCGGTTCAGAAAGTGACGTTAGGCACTGGCACCGGGGCCTCGGAAGCGCCGTTGGGACCGGCGTGCCATGGTGTTTTCCAGCGGCCGCCAAAGCTGGCAGCTGCAGGCTTCAAAGGCTAGTTTTCTAGTCGGTTCAGAAAGTGACGTTAGGCACTGGCACCGGGGCCTCGGAAGCGCAGTTGGGACCGGCATGCCATGGTGTTTTCCTGTTTCGGAAGCGGCCGCCAAAGCTGGCAGCTGCAGGCTTCAAAGGCTAGTTTTCTAGTCGGTTCAGAAAGAAGCCACAAGAAGAACAAGAAAACGAAGAAGACGAAGAAAAAGAAGATCCGTCCTTCACTTCTAGTCGGTTCAGAAAGTGACGTTTGGCTCTCTGGGCTAGCTCGGAGCTAGTTTCTACTCGGTTCAGAAAGTGACGTTAGGCACTGGCACCGGGGCCTCGGAAGCGCCGTTGGGACCGGCATGCCATGGTGTTTTCCTGTTTCGGAAGCGGCCGCCAAAGCTGGCAGCTGCAGGCTTCAAAGGCTAGTTTTCTAGTCGGTTCAGAAAGTGACGTTAGGCACTGGCACCAGGGCCTCGGAAGCGCCGTTGGGAGCGGCATGCCATGGTGTTTTCCTGTTTCGGAAGCGGCCGCCAAAGCTGGCAGCTGCAGGCTCAGAAAGCGACGTTAGGCAGTGGCACCGGGGCTTCGGAAGCGCCGTTGGGAGCGGCATGCCATGGCGTTTTCCCGTTTCGGAAGCGGCCGCCAAAGCTGGCAGCTGCAGGCTTCAAAGGCTAGTTTAAGCGCTGTTGGGACCCAACAGCTACTTTTCTTGACGACCTAGTTCGTTTGGTGCGGCCACCAGCCACTCGGTAGTCTTGCATGTGCGACCGCGCGCATTCGTATGCTGTGCTTGAATGCGTCCGTGGGGTTGCTTGGATTCCACCTTGGTGCTGCACGTGGGACATGCGTGCGTATAGCGAGTGCCAAACACGTCCTGCAGCCACGCGAAACTGACGGCCACAGTGCCCCCGTGTGTTGACCTTCCCTGTGAAGACGCTGCTTTGCACACATTGCTGGCACGAAGGACATGCGTACGTGTAGACACGTGCGGCAGCTTGGCCGTCCTGGCTGGACTTGGCGCTGTTCCGTTCATCCTGTGCGCTTTGCATCTCTACTTCAAGTACCCCTGTCGAACTAGCGCTGCCTGTAGCCGTCGGCCACGCATGACTGGTTCGTTCGGCAGTTTTTTGTTGGATCTCTTTGCGGACTTCCTCCAATATGGCTTGGTGGCGTTGGCGCTGAACCCGTTGCCGCAGCGGTGTCACCCGTTGGTTCGCCCGACGGGCAATTTGACACACCAAGGCTAAGCTGATGCACGTGTTACAAAGTTGCGTGCCATTTTGACGGTAATCACAGTTTTCTTTCCAAGCAGTAAACTCTGCGTGTGGTTTTCGCTCTAAACATTCGGCGCAAGACCAATACCCCCGCAGCTTCAGGACGCGGTCGCGGCAACAGCATCGGTCAGCATGGCGAGCTTTCCAGGCGGCAGGGCCATAGTCTTTCTCTGGCTTGGGAACCCCACATTTGAAACATGGTTTCTTGACTTCGCATGTCAAACACACACGGAAAAAACTACATTGCCGTTGGCGATGCCTTTCTGGAAAATTGGCCTCGACATGCCACAGCTTGCAGACGTTGCATTGCCATGGCGTCCCGGCATCTGCGTAATGCTTTGTGCATTCGCGACAAACGCGATCTTTGTCGTCGCGCTTCCACTGGCCACAGGTGAAAGCTGTAGATCGCTTGCGCTCTGCGCAGGTTGAACACGCGCGTTCTTCACAATATTTGGCCAGCAAGTCCTGCCAATTGATCGGTTCCCTGCGAAGATGTCGGAGCAGCAGGTCCCGCCCTAAACCAATACCTTTCTGGAATGGAGCGGCGTCAAAAGGTCGAAAGATCAGGAGCTTCTCACGGCCTTGCACGCGGGTAATGGCGACGTAGACGGTAAATGGATTTCCCCTTGGCCCTATGCAAAGATCTGTCGTCACGCCTTCCTTGATGGTTTGGCCTTGTGCGACATGCGCTGTGATAGCAAACTGCGGCGCCAGCGGGAATTGCGTGCGTGAGACACGAAGCTTGGGGCTTCGACGTTGCCGGTCCAAGTACCACACGCGTCTGCAGGTCACAACTGGGTAGACGTTTGCGTCCGGGACACCGGATATTTGCCACGACGTGGCGGTGTCAAACTTCACGTATACCACGGCTGGCAAGTTGTTGCACACCATTCCTTCGGGTGCAGGTGTCGCATCGGCAATCGCAGACCAACCGACTACATAGCCCTTTGTGCCTTTCAGGATTCCACGCTTGCGGTCTAGGTGGTCTGTGGCCCGAACAGGCATGCCCACGCACAGCGGCAAGACGCCATACAGCCCACCGCATTCCTTGTCGTGTCGCTGCAACCACTGCAATTTCTCGGCCGTCGGCTTTTCTTGGAGGACCGCTGCCGAAGCAAGATCGCGTGCCACAAATAAATACGGTAGGTGTCCTCGGGCGTTTGCCCATTGGAGGGCGCGGACCTTGTTGACGTGATATTTGATGTCATTTGTGCCGAAGATTGCAACTGCATCGCTGAACTCGTTCTGAAACCGACTGTCCGCATCGCCTTGGGCGACAAGTATACGCGAGCGGCGATCAGTCGCACACGTGTCGCATTCGGCCAGTTGAATGGCTTCTGGAGACAAACCTTGCGTGATTAAAGCGGCGCAAGCAGGTCGTTGACACGTTGCGTGCCCAGCAATCCAGCTTCCTGGCACCGTCGTGGGCTTGCCGTGCAAAAACTTATGGTTATCGTCGGATAGCTGCCCATGACGGAGCTGTCCTTGAAGTTCCGCTAGCCAAGCGTCTTGTGTGCGCTCACAGCGCACCAATTCCGTAACACCCTGCATGCCTGCTGTGGGGCTGCCCCAAAGAAGGGTTTGGCCCTGATGTCCGGGTGCCTGCCGTGTGCTTTTGCGTCCGGCCAACAAATCCCAGGGGATATCTCCCAGAAACGTTCCTTTTGGGGGTGGCAGCTGGTACAGATCTCCCGCCAAAATCACGTTCAAACCGCCAAAGGGCCGGATTTTTCCGTCGCGGTCATACTTGGCCATGCTGAGGTCCCGCAACAGCTCGCGGCACCGAAGTTCCAGCTGCGCCAGCAATTCTGCGCTAACCATGCTGAATTCGTCCAGAATCAACCATCGCCATTGCAGGCTGCGACCCGCACATTCCATGGCTCGGATTAAGCTTTGGGTTCTGTCACCCGACCAGTCGAGACCCAGTGCGTGGTGTATCGTGTCGCCATCCAGAAGTTCAGCCATAACAGCTTGAAAACTCACGATCTGGAAGTCGACGCCGTGCTTCCATCCCAACACGTTTTCGAACAATTCGTGACGAAGATATTTCAGTGTATGCGATTTTCCAGTGCCAGGGCCACCGTGTAAGACCCAACGAAATGGTTCGGCATCAACATTGCATCTATCTTGCATAGGCTTGCTAGTTTGAAGATGTTTGAAGATGTATATATAATTACACCATGATGTAACGACCCTATCGATGTGTTACCTAGGGTAATGACACTGGGGATGACTCTACAAGTAGGATGATCAGATGGTTTCTTTGATATGGTGCTTGTGTCTAGTGTACAAATGCATTGAGAGTTTCTATGATTTCGATTGCCCTGTGCTCTTTGAATGTTCATCTTTCGAATTGCTGATCTTCTGATTCCGTTCAAATTCCATGAATGTCTGGAGGCCATGCTGGCGACGTCTACTCCTGCAAGCTTGGGCCATCAACGATCTAAGTGCGACTCTGACTGAGCATCGGCCGCCATCACTGTGGAAGATGTTCACTGCAGGCACACGAAGGGTTCCAAACTCACTCTCTCCCAGGGGTCGGCGGCAGGGGGCGTAGCCCCTTAAGTATATTATGTGTATACATGTGTATACATATATATATACATATTATACGCGCGTGTGTGATAATATACGTATATCTATATAATGTTGATATATATATAGTGTACATGTATGTGTACACATCATGTCATATCAATATCATATCTTTCTATTGATATACCTCAACAAGACCTCGTTCCTAGTCCTTTCTGCATACACACGTCGGTCCTGGGACTCCCTGCCCCGGCATGGTATGCTAGCTGCTAGCTTCGCTGTTGCTTTAAATAGCTGCATATGCCGCTCTGACAGTGGCCGTGTCCAACTAGAGTAGTTCAAAAAGTCAACTGAAGCTGTTGCAACACATACCTCCATTGATCGCACGCCGTCTAAGCTGCTCTGCGGAATAGGTCATTCGAAATATTCGAATGAGCTGGGCCAGAAATGCTGAGCTGAAGTGCAAACAGCAATCAACGTCTTCGTATGTCACAAAACCAGCCAATTCACGTGGGTCTGCTCAAACCACTGAGTCTCTCACGAGCGTGAGTCTGAATAGGAGTCTGAGTAGCTCGGACTTCGCCTGTCACACGAAAAGAGACATCGGAAGTGACTACCAGGACTATCCACCTTTGTAGACGCCAAACAATGTCCGAGGTTTGGAAAACAAGAAAGCATTGAGGGAATCTACATGAGAAGATCCCAAGAATCACTGCATGGCTCAGTGTTCAAATGTTGGTTCATGGGTGGCGCACCTTCTTCTGCGACCTCGGCCGCCACCTTGGCTTTGGGAAAACATGGGAAAACCGTTGCATCACTATGATCTGCTCCAGACTGGCTGTGACACAAATGCTGAAGCAAAGTACATCTCATGCTGAAAGCACCCAAGTGCTGTATGAAGGCTCGCACGGCGACTTCGACTCCTGATTGACACACAGAATATGTTCTCGGAAAAAAAAAAGAAAAAAACATTTCCCGGTAAAAAAGGAACATGTTTGGTCTGAAGCCTTCCATCACAAGGAAACCTTCACAAAGAGATCCTGGTGTACCTGGATCAAATTGCCCAACAAAGAAATCTAGGGCCTGATTGGGACGGGTCCGGCAACCAAGCATGACCAAGGGCTCTCACATCTCTCACGCAAAACCATGTGGCACTGCAGTCTCCGCCGTGGTCTCTCTATGCTGAGAAGCTGCGTCGGTCCTTGAGTCTTTGCGTGGTGCATTATTTTTCTTGGATTCTCCACCCTTGGAGACCTTCAGAAAGATAGTTGCAGGTGAAAAAGCCGGAAACGCTTCACAAAAGATGGTCAAAGTAACCTTTCATACCAACTTACCAGCCTCGACGCGGATTCGCTCACCAGCAACTTTGCCTCCATCTAACTCCTTCACAGCTTCCTTGCAGGGGCAAATCCAGTACTCTTCACAACATATCACAACCACTTGTGGATCTGCTTTTCTACAACTGCAGAGTGTTGGCAAAGTCTTTGCAAAGTGCTGGCAGTCAGAAAATGCTGGGCCTGCGCTTCCTTTTCGTCCTCCATTGTCACGAATGCAAACCTCGAATAGTAGGCACTCAAGGCATTTTGCCATGGAAAATCAGTGCAAATCGATCAATGTAAGGCACAGGCCCAGGAGGCTGTCTTGCCACCCAAATGTCTACGACTTTTCCGAACTTTTCGAAGTGCTCCTCGCTCTGCTGCCAGGGTTTGGGCAGAAGGCTAAATCCAGAACATACTGCTTCTATGTCTAAAAGGTTGAGAAATTACGCTCGGAGATTCCGAGAAAATGAGCAGTATGCTCCATAGGTCCGGTGGAAAAGCAACGGCCAAGGAAAGCTCAAAGGATGAGTCCACGACAAACACAGTACCAAAAAGTACACATCTGTCAGTGCTTGAACCAGGGAAGAATGAGCTTTTTGAAGTGAGTGACACAGCGCAAAGTCTAAGCATGTAGAAACATGTACAAAGGTGAAGATTCTTCAAAAGCTCTTCAAAAATTCTTCAAAAAAATAGATTTGAGGACAGAATCCACAGTGGAGTCCTCCAACTCACTTCGCTCAACCTGGCTTGGGACGTGAATTGAGGGCGATACGATTCGCCTTACCATGTCAAGAAAATATTGAGTCTACCAGGAGAAAAATTGACAATTGTCCTATCTAGGTGGATTGAACGTCTACCTCAGTTCTTTGTCGCTTGGCATTTACACGTTTCCTCTCTTGCTTCTTTGGCAAGAGATTTGAAAGACACACTGACACATAGACAGAATTTGCTGAGCCAGTGTCAAGGTGTGCTAAACTCATTAACTGGGGTACACAAAGTACTTTCAAAGTACCTCAAAGTGACACCGGTCACATTCGTCTCATGCTTCCAACCAGAACTGGCAGCGGCTTTGGCGCAGCCCTTGGAAGTGATCCCAAGCCCTGCGAAGCAGAAAATCAGCGCAGAAGGAAAAGTGGAAGAAAACGGAGAAAACGAAATTGCGACAAACAGAGGGACAACAAATGTGACAACGAATGAACAAACACTTGCGAAAGGAACCGAAAGGAACCGAATGCAACCAAAGGCAACCGAAGACTTGAGTCCCTTGAGAACTTCCCTTGACCTTGGCAGCTGGGCGAAGGCATTGGCGATGACCAGCATGTCCAAGAGCTGCAGAAGTCGACGGGGGGACGTGGAGCATTCCAGACATTTCAGGTCTTCAAGGCATGTGCAAAATTGTGCAAAGTCATCCCATGCTTATCCGCCTGGAATGCCTGTGGCCATTCGATTCAATGGAGAGCATGGTGTTGCAGGCGGTGCTTGTACTACCTGTCGAACTTGCCACTTCTGAAGCATATGAAAGTTTAGTTTGATGAAAAGGTTGAAACGTGTTTGGTCTGTTGCCCACCTTTTGCTTTTTTAAACTCTAACCTCGCAGTACCACATTTTTCCTACTAGACCTTACCATTGACTGAATGAAGCTTTCCAAACGTGCGCATTGCCTGAACATGTTTGCATCGCATTTATCTGTTCTGCCTTGTTCTGTCCAAGTTGTCTTGTCATGATCTCATACCTTGTTATGACCGTCCGCTCTGAAGCCTCGGGCATCAACAAAAAGCCCTGAACCCAACCTGTCGAAGTGGAGATGGTGAACGGTGACGATCCAATTGTTCCTCCAGTGTCAAAAACATGAATAAAAAACTTGTTGATGAAACTGCCGAAGAAAGTTTTCAAACCGAAGCTTCTGAGCAGGTGGAAAAATTGCAGTTTGAAAAAGCACCAACTGCGTTAACTTGGGAGCCAACCTCCCTAAGTAATGATGTTGGCCGGGAAAAAAAAAAAAAAAACTACAGTAGCTGATTTGAGCTCAACTGTTGTTGAGGAATGTTGAGGATGCTATTGTAAACCGCACGAAACACACGTGCCAACCGCTGCTATTGACCTTGTCATCTGTAGTTCAGAGCCTGGGTTTACTTTTAGTGGTAGTGAGCACTTAGTATGAAGATCCAAAAATGCTTCTTGTTGGTACTCTTTCTGCATTTCGCATCAATGGTGGATGTGCAACCCTTATATCATTTTTATTCATATTTTATATCACAAATTGCGTGGCTTTTCTCTTGAGAAACACAGGTCTTTGATGGGTCCAAATGTCTGCTGTCGCAGCCACATTGTTAGAGAGACCAGTCCTGGACCACCAGCTGCAGCTCACCTTGGCAGAGTTGGCTGTTAAAGTTTGGTGCCATCTGCTGTGACATCAATTAGTTACATCTAGTTATATCTTACATCTAGCTACTGTATACGAGAGCAAGTTCTCGCAAAACTCTCACCAAGTTCTCACCTTCTGATTCCAAATTCAAATTAACTTCTCCTTCAAGTCGCGTTCAGCAAGTTGTGCGCAGCTTTCTCGGAGGGGCAGCAACTTCGTCTCGAGTGCTTCCAAATGCTTCCCCTGGGAGCTCCCAAAGCTCACGCATTATGCTAAAAGGCAAAAGTCAATCTGCAAACATCATCAAGCATCACTGTCTCAAACGAACATTTTGTCGTCATATAGAGATCAACCCAAAAATAGCTCCTGCTGCTTTGGTTTGGGGGTCTTTTGCTGCATTTATAAATATCATGTCTTCCATTTTGTTCCTGATATTTATCCATATTTATCCCCTAGCCCTTCAGATGTCACATCAGTTTTTTCTAGCGCCAATGGCCTCGATGCGATCAACTTCTTTGGTGAGCTCCTCCACCTGGCAACCCGGAAGGGGCCCCGGAAGGTAATTAGTGCCGTAGTGCCCAATTCCAAAACAGGATCTCTACAAACGGATCATTCAGTCGAAAGGTTGTTCTTCACAGTCAACCTTGCATAATTCCAGTGCAAGCTCTGAATTTGGACTTTGGAAGAGCTCTTCCTCCCAAATCATTTTGAAAGAGCCTCTAAAATTCCCATGACCTCTGAGCTCCAAAACATTGGGGAATATGTTCAAGGAAAGCATAATATGAAAGAACTATGAGAACGCGTGGAGTTCTACATGTTATGTCACTTTGAAGCTGCCGGGAGCGAGCTCGCAACGGCCTCCCGTTCTTCCAAAGTGAGCTCCTCCTCCACCTTGCTGCGACTGATCTTTGCAGCCTCCAGCTCTGCCTGACGATGTGAGGATTGAAACTGACTTCAAAAGGACAGCAAGGTCGAAATACGAAATCGGTCTAACAGTTTAATAGTAGTTTAGATATGTTTAGATCCAGTATGATATAATTTAAGTTTGGATGATGAATGCTAATTTTGTACTGCGATGAATCAAACACTTACGTTGCAGCTGATCAATCGTTCAAGTTCAATGCAGAATCTGGTGATGGTGACATCAGACTGTGATCAAATGACATCCACTGTTTTGGTCTCTTTCCATCGTGCTGTTATTGCCAGACCTGCTTCTCCTGCATGTCTACCTTCCTTCTTTGAAGAATTCAAAGGGAAACAAATAATCCGGGTTCGGCCTCTGCTTGCTTGGATACTTGCCGCCAATGCACCAACTCAAAGTTCAGGCGCTCCTGTGACTGTCACGGGGGCGAGCTCAAAGAACTATATATCTAGCATTCTCAATCAGAAATAGTCGGACAGCAAAATGTATCAAAATGATTCAAAATGTAGGATCATGTGGTGTTCATAGGGATTGACAGCTTGTAACAGTCGCCTGATACCCGCGGTAGCTCTCCAACTTTGCTTGGCACCTGTGTGGAGTAGATGGTGCAACAAATCAAAGGTGCAGCCTAAGGACTTAAACATAAAAATAATAATAATAATAACAATAATAATAAAGCTCAGGCGGTATCCCCAACAGCAAAGGTGGTAGGAAAGCGTGCTAGCATGTGCTAGCGGCCCTAGCGGCCCTATCAGCGGCCCAGTGAAGACCTGTCGAGTTAATCACCCTGGAACTTGCACCGGAACCTCCCGGAACAATGGCGAATCAAAAGAAAGAACTATTCCAAACCACCAGCAGAGTGCGTGAAAAAAGTGATGAAAACGGATAGCATCTCTATCATCGTTCATCATCATTTATCTTGGATTCTTTTTTTAAAGCCCTCGTGTGCCAACTCTTCACAAGCATGGTGAAGTTGGATCTTGCATTCTTACGATCTTTGGAAGAATCTTTGAGCAGAGCACTCTTGCTTTGCGTGCCGTAGTTCTGTAGCAAGGTCCTTGACTTGAAAACTCGCAAGAGCGACTGGACTTCAAATCTCCTATCAGAACTCGGTTGCAGTTTGCCTGACCATATCTCACAACCAGCCTTACAGCGATGGGCCTCTTCATGGTCAGCTTGAAGCCTGCACCGCGGCAATATTGACTAAGACTGAGACGGTCAATGCAAACGACAAGCAATGCTAGCTCAAAGCACCTTCAAGTCCGAATGCTTGGTTTGTACTTAGTGGATCTTAGTGGTAGGAGCTTCATTTGTCAAGCACATGCTTGGCGTCCATGCTTGGGAATGATACAAAGCTTGCACAACACCGACTTCAAAGTCTGACCAGCTTTTTGTGTTGCAAATCCCTCAACCTCACACGGAGGTAATCCGATCTTTCTGGCCATATTGGCCAACGAAGTCTGTCGCCTGAAATAAAGTCCAAGGCTCTATGCAGAGTTTTCTGCAAGGCCAACTCTCTGCACATCTAAATTGCCCTAGGCGCTGGTCCCAGTCAGATCACCGCTTTGGGCCAGAATTGGCTACCGCTGATGCCCTCGCCACTCCTGGGGATCGGAGCACATCAGAACTTTGCAGACGCCAATGGTATACTTTTAGTAACTACAGTACCTGGTATAATACAGGCCAAGCTGGCAATCTGTAGAGGCAGTCAAACCATGTCAAACCTACTGAACTCAAAGGATCAGAACTGGTCTGCCCCTGCCCCTCCTGGCTTTCACTGGTCTTCAGGACTGAACCAAGACAATCGAACTGCGCAAATGCCAGGTCGCTTGCACTGTCAAGACCTGACAAGCAAAAGCTGCGCACTTTGGAGCTGCACTACTGAGCAGCAAAGGGGTGTCCCACCTGCTTTGCCCTGACGAATAGCAGGTTGTGAAGCTGCCTTCATCTGGAGTGTGCTCCTTGTATTTGCACAAAGTGGCAACAAATCTGGAATCTGGAACGGTGGAACCATATAGAACAGTATGTAACAATGTACAAATTGAGCCGAACCAACCATACTGTAGCCCAGAGGCTGATTTTGCATTGCCCTCTGCAACGCATCTTGCAAAACGCTCTCAGGAATCTTGTAGGCCTTCCAGTGAAGGTTGGCGCAATCGTCAAGGACACGCAAAGAAACAGAAAAGCATGACCCTGTGGACCTGTGGATGGATATGTCTGACTGTACTGCCACAAGCCTCGGACAGGGTTTGCAGGAGCCGGTCATCCTCTTCTTCCGGAGCTTCAATGTGTTCCTGTTCCTGCTTTGGTCCACTGTCGGACTGCTTCACTTTCTCCACGTTCAATGCATCCTCATAGCTGCTGAAAGCCACTGGTCGGTGCAGAGCTGGTTTTATGAAGCTGTCAGTGGAGTTGTGTGAAGATCAACCCCTCACACATTGCCCTGCCTTTTTTTCGCCACCCCAATCGGGTCGCTCAAGGGTTTGCTGCACTAATCCGGGGCCAAGAGTGTTCAGCAAGATCATTCCCACAACCTTTCAGTGAAACAGCTCGATAACCGACCGAGTTGGAGAATCAGCAAGAAATGAGCTCATTTTAGCCCAATCTGAGCTTCAGACTGACATGATGCAAATGTACAGTCTGGCCTCAGCAAAAGTTGAACGACAAAAGATTGGACTTATGATTTTCCTTCATCTCTCCCCACCCTTCCTGCTTGCTGACTCAACCTCCAATCACTGAATTGTCCAGAGTGGCTGCGAGGAATATGAACTCCTGGCCTAGGTAGGTTGGCAGGCTCCGCTGAAAGAATCCGAGCCTTCACTTCATGATACTTCATGCAACACAACGCTGACTGCACATCCAAGGCGCAGGTTGAGCTGTTGGGAAGCCTGCCGAAAAACTGCCTTCAGTTGCACACTTCTGCGCTTCGATGCTGAGGTCTGTTCAATGTCTTGTCTATCTGCCAATTCTGCATGGAATACTACCAGACTCACAACACCTAATGTGTTTGGCCCGCTATTAGGCAGTCCTCCCATCCAGCCAAGAAACTCAGTGATTGGAACTTGGCCCAACGCTCCCTCACAGGAAAATCATGAAACTGCACTTGATATCACTTGATCATGATCAAACCTGTGGAAACTGCACTTTTGGACAGCGACAAGCACCTGGATGGTCGCTCGAGGCAACACTGACAGGAAGCCTGGCAAAGCCGCAGAAATCTTTAGCGCGATCATCCGCGATCCAAGAAAAGCTTGTGGAAAACCAGGTGCCCAGTCAAGTGGCAGAAAGTTGAATCGATCTTCACCATAGACTCCTGAAAAGGATGTCCTGTGAGCAAAAGTGAAAAGTATTCTCAACTTCAGGCGACTTCAGGATGGGACCCAGTGGCACATAGATTTGGTGAGGTTTCTTGCCTTGAAACCAAAAATACACCATCGCTTGATGTGTGAATCATCTCGTATCAAAATGTCCCAGTTTCTTCAGCAGCTTCCCAAAGACAGGCTTTGCACACAATGGCACACAAGGTTCTCTCCTGGCAGGCCGAGGGTGAGAATCCCATTGATAGCCAGGAAAATTCCAAGGAAGCGCGAAGCAAGCCCACAAGCCATCATTGGAAACCTCAATGACTCAAGCAACATCCCGCACTACCGTGAAAATGAAAACGGTGACAGGCTGAAGTTAGAAGCCAAGTTACACATGATGCCAGAAGGCAGGGAATATGTCCAGTGTGGTGCGGCTTCCAATCCTCTAGTATCAACGACAGAACAATGGCAGCTAATCATGTCATCTAATCACTCTTTTTGCATCATAAAGCGCTTGCTGCCAAGCTGCATGCTAAACAAAATGAGTTGACCAAATATCCAGACACCGCCCATCACTTTCTCCACCTCGTCTTTAATCGACAAGACTGTTTTGCTGCCTTTTGCAAGTGCTACATCCACACTTAATCAGTCTAGAGACTTCGTGAAGTTCCGACTCAGGTGCTGTTGCGGCAAAGAACACCCCTGTCATTATGACCATGAGTTCCTCAGTCATTGACAGAGCATTCCCCGCTTAATGATTGCCCCCGTGCCGCCTTTTCTCACGTGTCAACTGTAAAACTAAAACTGTTCTCTAGCTGCTGAGTTTGAATTTCAAGATCATGAGAAGGCAAACATATGAGCACTGTTCTTTCAGCACAATGAGTAATCAAGAACAATGTGTCATCTGCCCGCAAAGGACAAAAATACCCGAGGATACTGTACGCTGTAGATGGGCATTGCTTATAGCGTCGGACTGCTTCACTCTGCTTCCATGAGTCAGGCTGAAACATCGAGCCACTGATGAAGTTCATGGGCACCTAGGGCATTCCCAGTACTGAAAGATGCTGAAAGACTGCATCTGACGTCGTGCATGCGGACTTTGTACTCAAACTGCAAGTTTGAAACGATCATGTGAATCTGATCAGCATGTATAAGCAGAGCGCCAGCACCAAACCTGAAGCATTTGTATCCGGGGCTCCCAGAGCATATGCCACGAGTCCAACTGAAATGACAATCAAGAACGCCTGCAGCATATCCACAGAAGAAACACAACATTTAAAATCAGCAATGATCACAGCAATCATCTGAGCACTTTGAACAACCTTGATGACACGTGTTATTTTGTGATGACATAAGTGTGCCAACTAAGTCTTCAGCTTCCACTGGGGTTCCGGTCAAGACCTCCAAGCAGGAAGAAAGCATGTCTGTCTTTGGGCAGGAAACCTTTCAACACAGGCAGATGATAGGAAAAATATGAACATGGCCGAACCAACCTGGAAGTGTGCAGCAAACAAGGCCCAAGGGACAACTGATGAAGATTCCCTTTGGAGTTTGGAGTGGATGATCCACATAAACTAGCGATGAAGAAAGCTCCCATTTCATCATGCACATGCTTCTTCAAAAAGCAAACAAACGGGGACCTAGCGATCAAAAATCTCCGCATGTGATGTACATACAATTACATACAACTCTGCACGTGGAATTGTGCATATGCCGGCCCATCAGACTATGAGAGGATCAGTGCTTACAAATCATAAGGGAAAGCTCCAAGCCAACATGTAGAAATACACCTAAAGAACGAGCGCACGAAGCTGCAACTCTATTTTGCAGCATGCGCATGAAGTGCATGTGCAAGGTCAAACGAACTCAACCTCCTACCTCATCTTACACAAACATCCTACCCGACCCCAACCGAGATGTACATAGTAGGATGGCATCTTGTTATGCGTGTTATCCCACTGCGGGACTGCATCCAAGAGCTGAGACCCAGTCCTGTTTTCCGCCAATGCTGAGATTTCTTCTTCGGCAAATGAGCCAGCCAGTTGTGCTGCCGAGTGCTGCTCCTGCAAGAACTGTAACGACGATGCGCAATACCTTAGCAGTGTCGCAAGACACTGGTACCACGGGCAAAGAACAAGATTTACCTCGTCGATTCCTTTTTTGACTCGACAGTGTTTGTGCAAAATGCTCCACTGCCAAAAGATTGAAAGATACAGTTTCTGAACGGAATCTCCATGACCAAGCAACATTGCCAACTATCAGAGTTGCAACCTGCACATTTGATGAAGTTGGTGCCGCAAATCCTCAAGGTCTCTTGCATGAAACAGCACTGATTGCAGTATATTCATATAATATTCATATAATATTCATATAATATTCATGATATTCATATAATATTCATATAATATTCATATAATATTCATATAATATTCATATAATATAGCTAATATTCATAGAAGTGCAACTGGCAATCAGTTCTGAGATCCACACCACTCAAGATTCCGAACAGTGACAGTGCAAATGATGCCTCCAATGGCGCCCATGTGAACATGAGCCGCGGCATTGGATGCCTCGGTGCTCACCGGTTGGCATTGGATGCAGCGATCCTGATCTGGTCTAGTTGTGATGTCAGTGTCCCAAAGTTTGGCACAGAAGGATGGATAGATTGATAAAGTCCCAATGTTTGTAATATGGCAATATATGGCAAGATGTAGATCTCGCCTTGTGATGGTCATCGCAACTTGGCTCCCTAACTTTGGCACACTGCAGTGGTGAGACCGTTTCTGATTTGAGGAGGTCTGCGAACCAAAAAAAGGCAAAGAGCATGGTACAAGGACTCACAAATGCAACGAAAAGGCCGTACCAAAAGGCGGTACCGCAGCGTCAGCTATCTTTAGAAAATGAGTATCTCATAGCATCTCACTTTGAGCAAGTCGCCCCGGGAATCTCGCACCAAACTCTTTCATCTTTGGTATAACGAGACCATCTCCAATGGCAACCAGGATTGTTCCCAACCTGACAAGGTGAAAGGATTCCCAAAAAATGGTACACAGTTTTAAAAAAACTCTTGACCTGCTAGCACAGAAGTAGTTCGCTAGCACATTGAAAACATTGAAAAAGGCAACTATCGTGCCGGACAGTCACTTAGAACATCATTTTTTTCAAAATGTTTGGACTCTCACGCTTAGAACATCCAGAGACCCCCACACTTAGAACATCCAGAGCAAAATCAGTTAGAACATCCTGTATGTAGGTTGATGGATGTTCTAAGTGTGAGACTCCTTGCAACTAACCCTGGCTCCCCACACATAACATCACAAACAAGAGCTTGTTCAAGTTTTTTCTCTGTCAATAGATCATTTTAGAAACAGTTATACATGTCAATATATCGTTTAAAAAATATATATGTTGCAATGTCTTGGGATGTTCTAAGTGTGGGGGTCTCCACAGCTGATTGATAACTTTGTGTTCATATATATATATATAGTTATATCAATATATCATTATAGAAATATATATGTTGTAATGTCTTGGGATGTTCTAAGTGTGGGGGTCTCCACAGCTGATTGATAACTTTGTGTTCATAAATATATAGTTATGTCAATAGATCATTATAAAAATGTATATGTTGTAATGTCTTGGGATGTTCTAAGTGTGGGGATTTTCGGATGTTCTTAAACATAGCTTTCAGTGTTAAAAAAAAACGTTTTCCAAATGATGTTCTAAGTGATTGTCCGTCGCTATAAAGGTCTCTCTCAGCATCACGTGGAGACTGCATCCACAGCCGCTATCACGACCCAAATATGATACTGACACAACCCCTGGAACTAATGACTGAGAAATCACGACTGCGAAAAGTTGAAACGTATATAGGCGCACAGTCAAACCCAAAGATTTTTGGAAGATTTGTCCTATTTGCCATAGCCATTTTGCTGTTCCGTCTTGCATAAATTGCATGCTAGCATGAGAGCACAACTACGGCGTGCATCGGAATCACCAAAGGTCGCCAAACCATGACAGAGGCTCTACAATTTAAAACCAAAAAAAACTTCACATCATGCCTCTTTCAACATGGCAGCTTCCACTACTGGAGGACCACAACATCACCACAGCATCCATCACATCACATCCACATTCTCCTTCAAACATGACCAGTGACCAGTGCACAATCATCTTCATAACATGAGCCGCATACTGCCACTGCATGACCAAGATCGAGCATCACATATGACAAACACATCAAACACCACCACGAAGGCCATCACAACATGCCCCAAACCATTGCCACCATAGCATGACCAAGACACCACTAGCAGATTGCCACAACAACATAATCTCAAAGGTGTTGCTGGGATGTTGCAGCTGAGAGGCACGAGTCCTTCGATTGGAGAATAGCCGAGCATCCACGTGCTATACCTTCTCAGTACATGATGCTGTAATGTGACAAACCCAATAAACAACCGTACCCAATTTCATCTTTGGGTTTTTTTCTTGGTTTACTGCATTACTCGCAGTCAGGTTTGTTTGTGCACTGAATCTGCACTTGCACACTCTTTTTCTGCTTGAAACTGCTGCAGTGCATTCAGGAGCACAATGCGATTGCCACCAGCTCAAAGGTGGCTGGTAGAAAAGCCATGATGAACATGTAAGTCCTGAAACAGATGCAAAATAGATCAAAATAGTCTTACACCCGAGATAGCAGGAACTCACAGAGCAGGCCATCGAGCAACAGCATGTCCAGACATGTTTGGACCGAGGGGAGAGAGAGAGAGAGGGGGAGAGAGAGAGAGAGAGAGAGAGACAGAGACAGAGACAGAGACAGAGATAGAGTGTGAGAGAGAGAGAGAGTGAGAGAGAGAGAGAGTGAGAGAAAGATGTATTATATAATAATATAATATATGTATTATATATAATATACGTAGAGGGACAGACTGGACAGACGGACAAAGACGTTCACCAAAATGATCAACGTTTCCCTCCACAAGAAATAAGGGCAAAAACCATCAGGTCTGTAATTAGGCTCCTCAGGTCTTTCAAGCGAATCTCCAAGCCTGCTATCAGCAGCACCTGATTTAGACGATTGGCAAGGCAAGAATTGGTCCCTTCAAGTTGCTTGTTTGTCGTTGTTTGTTCTCACTTTAAGCCTATTCCGAAACAAGAGCAGCATGTCTGTGGACCACATTCCCCAGTTGACAACAAAGCGACTAGAAAAAAAGACAGCTCTTGCAGCTCATCGCGCGCAGACAACAGATCCTGAGTACAAGGAGCACGAAACTCAGCCAATTCAGTTGGTTGATCCAACTGATTCAACTGCTTCCGGCAAAGTGCTCCAAATCTGCACCACGCGGGCATAGTTTTGCCAAGGATCATATTGAAAGAAGTAAGAGAATGCGAAGCCAACCAGAATCACCTTGATCAGGGCTCTGTGGAATCTGTATTGAAGTGAAATCCAACCTTCCTCGCACTGCTTTGCAGCACGGCTCATGTACAGCAAAGCCACTCCCACAGAAGGAGGTAGTCCTGCAGAGAGAAATATAGTCCTGGCAAAATATCCAACCTTACTCGTCAAACGGGCGCTGGAAGGATTTTTCAAAAACTATGATATCTCAGGTACACCTGACGACATCTGGCCAGTGCGAAGACTAAGACATTGCAGTAGAATCATGGAAGCGTGTAAATTGTTTGATTCCAAGATGCCAAGAATAGATATGCCAACCCTGCCAGGGCAAATGATTTGGTAATTTGGACATTGCTGCGGGAACAAAGGACAGGACCAGCTTCCTGTATCCGAATCGAATGCACACACCTAGTTGCACTGGGTAGTAGAAATTTGCTGCGTCGTTAGTAGATGTGCTCTCTGATGGAGGAGCGCCAGCAATGTCTATGACCTGAGTCAGGATACATGCAGGGCCAAGACAATAGGAGTGAGAAAGACTTTTGCAGGGAATTTCCAAGTCGTTTTCAGTAAACGCGCTGACTGGCAGCTGTATAGCAAGTGTTTAATGGCCCTTATGCATGTCAACTCTGCAGTGGCCACTCAGGATGTCGCATTGCTGTGAAGTCTGATGACCATTGCAATCGGTTCGCTATCGGACGGGTCAGACCCAGCTGATGAGCCAGTTGCATAATTGGTTGCACAGAATCACAGCATGTTCAGATTATGTTGCAGGCAAACTTCATGCACTGGTTGCTTTGATACTTGAGCTGCATGAACTTCTCATGGTTGTTTTGCAATATCGAAACCGTAAGGAAGACTGCATGGATACAACCTACGCATAGGTGCGAAATGTTGCTACAGTGCCTGGCTGGCAGCCTGAGCAGATCTTCGGATCGCAAATGTTCATTCTTAGCCTGGCTGCGTCTTCAAGAAATGTCAGCAGAAACCTTGAAGCTATTTACGACATTTTACGACCTGTACCATAATTTTACAATAAGGATTGACCATTTAGCAATGTACACAATCCACAAGCACTGCAATCAAGATGATTCCACAAAGCAATTGCCACTGAAATTCGGCTCTGAATAGATCCACAAAAAGGGTCATGAAATGTCATGAGTATTGAGTAATTACTCATGAGTCATGATCATTGTCGGAAGAGCTGGCTATAAGCACTGGCTTTCTTTGACCTTGTCTTTGTGCGACTCCTGGTGCTTCATCAAACGCTCCTGCTCCTGGGCAGCACTGCTCCATTCTTTGGCAAAGCTGAGAGGTTCTGAGACACATCTGCCATGTTTGCATAGGTTTGCATTAAAGCATTACTGTAGCCACATTGCATATGTTTGCCACATGTTGAGGTCAACCGAAGGCTGTCCTTCTGTTGCATGTCTTGCTCCTTCTCAACAGCTTGCACCAAGCGGGAGACATGATGATCTAGGGATGATGCCTTGACAGCTGCATTAAGCTGCAGGCTCAGGCAGGCTCCAGCAGGCTCCTTTGTTATATAGTGTTACAGTGTTACATATCTAAATTTGTCAAATCCGTCCATGCTTGTCAACGGCTGCCTGCAAGCGCAAACCAGCATCGGTTCTGGCATGCGCAGCCTGAATGTAGGATACACAACAAAAAATGCTGCGAATGAGGGCAACTGATTGAGACAGCCCACCTGCTGAGCTGCAAATGAAGCTTGCTCCTCACGGCGTTCTTGCAGCCTCGAACCAGACTGCCATAGGTCAAGACTTGAATCACCAGTAAAGCTGACAGAGAGTCACCAGAAATCACTTGTGTCCCCTCCACATCTGCTTGGCTGCGGACTCGGATCTCAACTGTGCAGTTTCTTCAGCCCCCCTCGCAGCAGAAGCCTTCCGCTGCTACCAGCATACAGAACGAGGCCGATGTGTGTAGTGTAATTGCACGGCTGTCACTTTGTCGCCCAGCTTCATTTGTGCCTTCGCATCCTCAAGCTGTTTGGAAAGCTGCACAACCTCGTGTGCAAAAATTCTGGGAAGCAGGGAAGCTAGCAGCTAGCAGTGCACACAAATTTCATTTCAGCAAGCGCATGTACTTCCAGTACCTAGACCACAACAGTTTGACAGCTGGGTCTCTTGCCTTCTCTTCCAGACTACTCGATTGACCCTTTAGAATGGTGACCTTGTTCGAGTTTTGAAAGCAGCGCGGAGGTAGCCAAAACAATGGAAGAATCGATGTCTCATGACATCCTGTAACCCTAAGTGTGACAGGCCGTGACACTAATGTTTAATATGTTTAATGATTTTGCATCTAACCAAATCTCCAAAAATATTCCGCAAGAGGAACGCTTGAAATGTCGACGGCTCAGGCAACAGCTTCCTTCTGAAGCCAGTCCCGCTCACAGCCGAGCATAGTCATCGCTGCCATCCGTTTGGAGGCTGCCTTCCATGCAAAACTTGTGGATTCAACGTAAACAACGCACATGGTGTGGATTCCGACCTCTGCCTTGCGTTCCTTGCGTTGCTCCTCATGTGGGCTTTCGACTGTAGCTTGCAACCTGTGCAGAAACAGGCCGGAAGGAGTTGCTCAACGTCCAGGTCTCACAAATGAATCGGAGTCTTGACTATGGAGGTATATACTCACAAAATGGCAAGTACATGCAAGTACCAAGTCAGTACAATTACATACAAATATCACCACAGATAAGAATTGATAAGAATGCGAGAATCGTCTTTGGCTGGCCCTACCTTTCAGAAAGCTCAGCAATTTGGGTCTCCAGGACGTTCAGCTCATCGAGCAAAGCTGACAAACAAAACGTCAGAAAACAACCCAGCAAACGTGGGGAAGAGATGGGAAGAGTGGACAGTCAAACATCTTCACATGATTTGCTGCTTGAGTGGGCCTTGTTCTCGCTCAGCATTCTGATGAGCCTTTTCCTTGCATTGCACTCATAAAATCGCACACCCAAAGCCCGCAAACGCCAAGGCAAAGCAAAAGGTAAGCACGGAACCAAAAGACAAAACAAGAAATGTGTTGAAGAAAATCAAACTCGGCAAATCCATGTGATGTTTTTCTTCAATCCTCGTTGGATGGTCTCTTTCATGCGCATCTTTCTCATTTCGATGCTGTTTTCGTCCGTGCGTTGGGCCCTGGCTTCAGCTTCAAGCTGTTTCGCCTGTATCCGCTGTCTCTCCTCACGCAACTGACACATCAAGATCATCAAGCTTGCCAACTGAGATATCATAATATATTGATATGTAGGTTGGTATTGTCTAGGTATTCCATGGGATTATAATGTACCTTTTTTCTTTGCACATCTTCCATCATTTCTACCAGGGAGTCCTCGTGGAACTTCTGTCGGGAAACAGCCAGCTCTTCAATCTCATCAACGCTTGTCTGTTCAACAGGCAGACATAAACGTTACCTATGCATGCCTATACTGCATACTAGCAGCAAGTGTTTCAACGGGACAGAGGACAGCACTATGGTGGTGATTTTGATTCTCGGTATATTCTCGGTAGATCTGAAATGGCCTGGGATTGTGATGCTCTTGGTCGCCGCAATGGCGATCCCAATATCGAACTCCTGCGACAAGACTTCCAGCCAGTGGAACCACCAGGAGTCAAGAAACGCCAGGGACAAGCTGCCATGTTTTCTCGCGAGTCTGAAACACTTTGGGATCAGCCACCTGTACTGTACATGGCCATGTTGGCTATGTTGGTCGTGGTCACGAATTTTGTGACGTTTATGACATTTTATGACTAAGCTGTCCAATTGAGCACAAGCTCCAGTTAGCTTTGCTGCCCTCGAGCTGCTTTTCAGCAGGGCACCTGGACACTGCCCTCGTGAGTACCAGTACCTACGGCTCAGCAAACTGGAGCTTCAGGTCAGCGATTGGAAGCAGCTGGACATATCCAAAACTGAAATTTTTCAATGTGACTTCTGACTCAGTTCTAGCGCTGTTCCTGTCAATTTTTGTCACCGTTGGATAGTTTGCGAAGCATCCATTGCACTATTCGATTGTCGGCTTCTCGAGCTTCTGGCAGGAATGCAGTGCACCACTGGAAGGCGTGTGGCATATATGGAACCTCATCCCACTCCACCTCCACGTTGGCCTTCTTGGCCTGAAGTAGGGGAAAAAAAACTGGTCAGCTGGTCAGCTACTCGATTCTCTTCCCACAATGGCAAAGACAATTATCACATAGGCACGAAATTAGTCACCAAGCATGCGAAGTATGCCAGCAAAACTTACAGAAACAATCCCATTTTTTACAGCATGTCATACATGGAATATAGCGTATCATCAAAAGAAGTTTAGTTAGGAAATTTCCGAGTTACGAACGATTGTCATGGCTAGCGGCTACCTTTCTCACCATGATGGTCAATCATCATGGCAACCACATCGTCATAAAAGTAAGTGTGAGAGATCGGGAATGCGTGCATTCAGACTTGAAAACACTCTCCTGCCCGAAACCCTGTATTTTTTCGGGTAAAGTGGCTGCCACGGTCGCTTGAAGGAGGGTATCTGTTTCCGCGGTTTCGCGGCTCGATCGGGGAAAGTGGTCGACAAAATGCGCACAGGACTCTAGCGAAAACTCAATTTCATATAAAAATCGTAAAAAACTGTCGGTTTCGGAGCACTTTCGGAAGATGCGGTCACCGGGTCGACAAAATGCGCACAGGACATAGCTCGACTTCCACGTGGAAATGTTGAAAAACTGTCGGGTTGGGAGCACTTTTGGACGATGAGGTGGACAAAATGTGCACGAGACTGTAGCAAAAGCTCGATTTCCACTGAGAAATGTTCAAAATCTGGAGGTAGTATCGGAGCACTTTTGGAAGATGAAGTCGGCAAACTGCGCACGAACCTGTAGCGAGAGCTCGATTTCCACTTGGACATTTTAGTTGCAAGAGCTCGATTTCCACTTGGAAATGTTAAAAAATTATTAACGGTCTCGGAGCACTTTTGGAAGATGAGGTCGGCAAAATGCACACGAGCCTGTTGCCAGAGCTCGATTTCCACTTGGACATTTTAAAAAACTGAAGGTCTCGGAGCACTTTTGCAAACCACGAGGCTGCAGCGAGAGCTCGATTACGACTTGAAAATGTTAAAAAACTGATGGTCTCGGAGCACTTTTCAAAGATGAGGTTGGCAAAATGTGCTCGAGACTGCTGCGAGAGCTCTATTTCCCTTCCTCAGTATCACTTCTCATCCCCTTGCAAACTCTCTTGTTCCGAACCCCAACGAACGCTGCTCTCCGTTGAGCTTCGGAGTTCCTCCATTTTCCTCCGTTTTCCCCCTGCTTTGGACGATTTTCCTTCGTTTTCTGTCGTTTTTTTCCTACCTTTTTCCTGTCATTCCTCCATTTTCCTCCATGTTCCCCCTGTTTTCAACGATTTTCCTTCATTTTCCTTGGGTTTTTTCCTCCCTTTTTCCTGCCGGAGTCAATGGACCTAGGGGGAATCGAAGCCTACCGTCACCTCTTTGCGTAGTGGTACATGCCCCCCAAAAAAGTTCAATTTGCACGCCCTCCGCTGCAACTAATCTCGAGATTTTGGCGCCGCACGCGACGTCCACCCCCCAGACCCCCTAATACTCACTTCGTTCGCCAAAACAACTTTGCCTAGCCTATCGGCTGGCTTTCGTCATTCATTCATTCATTCATTCTTTCTTTCTTTCTTTCATTTCATTTCATTTCATTTCATTTCATTCATTTATTTCATTTCATTCATTCATTCATTTCATTTCATTTCATTTCATGTCATTTCATTTCATGTCATTTCATTTCATGTCATTTCATTTCATTCATTCATTCATTCATTTCATTTCATTCATTTCATTCATTTCATTCATTTCATTCATTTCATTTCATTCATTTCATTTCATTTCATTTCATTCATTTCATTTCATTTCATTTCATTCATTCATTCATTCATGTCATTTCATTTCATTTCATTCATTCATTTCATTCATTCATTCCATTCATTCATTCATTCATTCATTTCATTCATTCATTCATTCATTCATTCATTCATTTCATTCACTCACTCATTCATTCATTCATTCATTCATTTCATTCATTCATTTCATTTCATTTCATTCATTCATTCATTCATTCATTCATTCATTCATTCATTCATTCATTCATTCATTCATTCATTCATTCATTCATTCATTCATTCATTCATTCATTACATCACATTCATTCATTCATTCATTTTCATTCATTCATTCATTCATTCATTTCATTTCATTCATTTCATTTCATTCATTCATTCATTCATTCATTACATTCATTACATTCATTACATTCATTACATTCATTACATTCATTACATTCATTGCATTCATTACATTCATTACATTCATGCATTCATTCATTCATTCATCATTCATCATTCATTCATTCATTCATTCCATTCATTTCATTCATCATTCATTCATTCATTCATTTCATTTTCATTCATTTCATTCATTTCATTCATTTCATTCATTTCATTCATTTCATTCATTTCATTCATTTCATTCATTTCATTCATTTCATTCATTTCATTCATTTCATTCATTTCATTATTTCATTCATTTCATTCATTTCATTCATTTCATTCATTTCATTCATTTCATTCATTTCATTCATTTCATTCATTCAGTTCATTCAGTTCATTCATTCATTCATTCATTTCATTCATTCATTCATTGATTCATTCATTCATTTCATTCATTTCATTTCATTCATTCATTTCATTCATTCATTTCATTCATTCATTTCATTCGTTCACTTCATTCTTTCATTCATTCATTCATTCATTTCATTCATTCATTCATTCATTCATTTCATTTCATTTCATTTCATTTCATTCATTCATTCATTCATTCATTCATTTCATTCACTCATTCATTCATTCATTCATTCATTTCATTTCATTTCATTTCATTTCATTCATTCATTCATTCATTCATTCATTTCATTCATTCATTCATGCATTCATTCATGCATTCATTCATTCATTCATTTCATGTCATTTCACTTCATTTCATTTCATTCATTCATTTATTCATTCATTCATTCACTCATTCATTCATTCATTCATTACATTCATTACATTCATTACATTCATTACATTCATTACATTCATTACATTCATTCATTCATTACATTCATTACATTCACTACATTCATTGCATTCATATGCATTCATTACATTCATGCATTATGGCTTTGTCGATTGTTTGAGTTCAACTGTCAAGCAGGCAGGCGTTCACGCTTTCTTTTTCCTGTGGTGCGGCAATCAAACTGCAGTGGCATGCAATATGCTCTGTGAACTGCTGCAGCTTCAGCTGAAGCCGTCTCGAAACAAAGCAATCGAGATCTCAGAGGGCGAACATCGAGATGGCTTCTCATTTAGAAAAAAGATAGGATAGCCAAATGGATGGGTCAGCATTCATTACATTTTTGGGCCAGTTTGGAAATGAGCGTTCATGCAACTGGATGCCAAGTTGGCGAGCAATTGGGCAAGCAGCTCCCACTCGCGAACCCCCGTCTGCAGGGTTGGCTGGAGATTCAACATGTTCAAACCAAGAGGTCGATCGCAACCGGGCAACGCTCAAATGAAATGCATGAACTACAGCACCAAAATCAGCAATACGTGCTCTTCCAGTGATCATCGCCGATAAGGTGCCTAAGTTGTCAATGAAAAATATCAAATGTGCACATGTCAAAACATCACAATGAAAGTGAACTGCGAGCAATGGGCCAAAGGCTTCTCCTTGCGCTATGTAAGTGTGCCTTTCTTCAAAGGAACGCAAGACTGCATCGGGGACAACTGTGAAGCCCCCAAGTGCAATATTGCAAGCCATGTCGAGCACTATCCAACACACTTGGACAACTGGGCGAACAAGCGGTGGTCTGGGTTCACAGGACGCATCAGTGTAAATTGTGCGTCTAGGCATTTGGTCTGGCACCAATGACACATGTCTATAAGGCTTCAAATTTAGCAATGCGAGGTGGAATTGTAAACACAAAAGCAAATTATTTGAAACTTCTTCCGCAGAGCCAAGGCCATGTTCCACTATGGAATGCGTTTGGCCTCTCCCGATTCGCCCTAAATAAAGGATGCCAAATGTGTAAGTTTCCCGCTTAAACGCCGGGCGTCTTTGGGGCTCAGCTTCCGGCTTGCAATGGACTGTGCAAGGGTGTGTCGTATTTGCTCCTCCCTTTCAAGCAAAGGTTGCAGTTTCACAAAATCTGGAAAATATAGCTCCTGGCCACCTAAGAAAACAACATTCGATGTGAAGGGTTTGTCTTTTTCGGCATCAAACAGCCACCCCAGTTTCTCCATCAATTTGTCAAAATATAGCGCACCAGAACCTTTGGCAAAACGTGGCTCCGTTATCTTGAAATCATCAAAGAAGTTTATCACTGGAATTGCAAGCCAACGTCTGGCTATAGCCACAAGAAGTGCAGGATACCTGTTGAATTGCAGGACAGCGGACAGCAGACCGAATGCGAGCCCATGCAGAATTCCGAACACCCATCGCCTGTGCGAAGGGTGCCACACTGCAATCACTGAAAAGCACAACTGCTGTTGGCTAACTGGAACCTGTCTGTAGGCACGCTTCATATCTTGCGTGGAAGCCTGCAAAGAGAAATCGTGCTCCAATGGGCAACTGCACAAATGGCGAAAACGCTGGCAAATAGCTAATCCCATATCAACAGAAGTTGTGTGGATTCGCTCTTCAACACTAGTGCACAGGTTATGCTCACTTGACTTGGCGTTGTCAATGCACCGATACGCCTGGTGATTTTCTTGCCAGGTGGCAAACCGCATCATTGGACGCCACTGGTAAGTGCCAAAACGCTGGTGCAGGTCTTCCGGGCTAAACCAACCCTCCAAAATTCCAAGGGCACGCTCGCCTTCAGACTTTTCCCAAACCACCTTTGCTTCATCTGGACGCGGCGGGCGTCTGCTCAGCACTTCCTCCAGCCAGAGTTGATTTGCTTTGGGGCAAAAACAGCTTGTGGACGCGGCGCTGCCAGGATGGGTGCTGCGATAAATACCAAAGCTGGGCAAGTCACCCACTATTTGGACACCTTCACATAAAGCTAGAGCAGCATCACGATCA